ATAAATGAATATATAATCTAAATGAATGTAACCATAAAGCGTTCATAGTACATTTTCAAATCTTATTTAAAGAACAATCACAAAAACTCACGCCTCGTGCTTCCCTCGAAGCGAAAACAAATTATTAGCTATCAGGATTCATGAATTTTAGAGAATCGCCGTAATTTAGCTAATAGCCGTTACGGAAAGTTCGTAACATTTCCACAACAAATCAAGCCACATTTTAACGTGAACAAAGCCTGTGTCGAATGTCGGAGATATTTAGAAACACCGAGTGAGAAATGAAAAATTAAACACGGATTCCCTTCATTTTATAAATAAATAAATAAATAATAATAAATAAATATTTCCAACACTCACACCAATTAGCCTAGCCCCAAAGTAAGCACTATAAAGCTTGTGTTATGGGATACTAGGGTAACGGACATAATACATAAACTTTACATATATAAGTATATTTATATAGAAATACATATTAAACATCCATGACTGGAGTACAAATGCTCGTGTTCATCACACAAACATCTGCCCCCACCGGGATTCGAACCCGGGACCTCTCGAGTCGGCGACGCCATGAAACCCGGCGTACAAACCACTCGGCTACGGAGGTCGTTCCGAATGCGAGATCCCAAACTATGCCACCGAGGTTAGTTAGAAACTTCCGGGCGTTGGAAATTAATAATTTTCATAGCGGATTCTGTCCGGTGCCTAAGAGGCCCCTCCCTCTTGAAGTTTTTTTAAAAGCGAAGCGCGGAAATCGCCCGTTTTCAAGTTATGCAAGTTTGCCTTGAGGCGTCATAACTTTTAGCCATGTACCGCCACTTACTTGATGGTTGGTATCTTGAGTTGGATTGTTAGCGAAGATGGAAATGATTCCAACTTTTTATCTTATAAAATAAATGTTTTGGGGTAGAATTTAGTTTTCTTGTGAAACATTTGTGCTCATAGACGTTGAACGAGCACTGAAGATTGGTTACAACAGTATCATGAGGAGCCCGATCGCGCAAGCGGTTAGCGCGTTCGGCTACGATCGTTGAAGTTAGGCAACTTTCGCAGTGGTCGGTCATTGGATGGGTGACCAAAAATTTACTACCTCGAGCTCCTCCGTGCTTCGGAAGGCACGTTAAGCCGTTGATCACGGCTGCATCTGCAGTCGTTAGCACACACCAATCCGCACTGGGCCCGCGTGGTGGGTCATGGCCCAATCTCCCTATTCCATCCATAGGGAAGGCCTGTGCCCTGATGATGATGATGAGTATCAATTATGTTATCTAGCTTAATAGTTCTGGTTTCGATTCTTGCAAGCCTTTAAGTATAGTCAAATTATGGTCTTTAATTTCTTACATCACATTTAAGATTACCAAGAATTTTGTACCAAAAACTGTACATAGGAAGCAGAAAGCATAAATAATAAATAAATATAAATAAATAATAAATAAATATTTCCAACACTCACACCAATTAGCCTAGCCCCAAAGTAAGCACTATAAGGCTTGTGTTATGGGATACTAGGGTAACGGATAGAATACATATACTTTACATATATAAGTATATTTATATAGAAATACATATTAAACATCCATGACTGGAGTACAAATGCTCGTGTTCATCACACAAACATCTACCCCCACCGGGATTCGAACCCGGGACCTCTCGAGGCGGCGACACCATGAAACCCGGCGTACAAACCACTCGACCACGGAGGTCGTCATAATAATAATAATAATAATAATAACCGCTTTGTGGGATGTGGATTCGACGACCATTGTCCCTATAGTCGTTAGTGTGAACGGTCTCATAGCGAAGAGTCACGACCAATATCTAAAGAGCCTCTCGCTAGATGGTTGGGTCAAGGAGCTGATGCAAAAGGCAGTACTCCTGGACACGGCGCGCATCGTCAGACGGTTTCTCTCTCTGCGGCCCTAACCACCGGTATCTAGGACCTAGTCCCGCTGCTGGTGGCCTTCTAGGTTATTATTATACTCTTTATTGCATCATACAGTTTAAAAAATATAGTCAAATACATAGTAAGCAAAGGTGGGCTTATCTCTAAAAGAGATCTCTTCCAGCCAACCTAGATGGTGTCGGAGATTCAAAACTTAGCGGGAAACAGAAAGTGCAATAAAAATTAAATTAAAAATACTGTTATAGGAAATAGACTTAATAAATAATAGTTGCATATATATATATATATATATATATATACACTATACACATTATACAATACATATACCTACATAAATAAACTTGCATAAATATACATAGATAAATACAATACCTATCTAAATATACATAACATACATATAAGATTGATAAATAAATAATAATAAGAAACAAGATACTTCGTGAGAATGATTCATTAAGTTTGAGATTTCTGTTTGAGAAAATGATCTTTGACTTTAGACTTAAACGAGACTTAGGTTAGGTTTTTTATATGATATTTATTTTTGTATTTACGTTTTTGTACAACTTTTATAACTATTTTATAAAAAAAACCTAACTGTTAAATTAAATTAAATAAATGAGATAATAATAGTAATTTATTCTTTTTTTTTACATGTTAACAGATATTTAAATAATATTTCATTAAAAATAAGACAATAGGGAATGGCTCAGCCAATGTTGGTCAAGCCTAGACCAGAACCTACGCTGTTTTTCAGCCATCCCTTAAATGAAAAGTTAATGAAATTTATAGAATGCATCAGGTAACTATCACCGGCACCTACAGGAAAAGCATTTTGACGTGACAACGTCTTAAATTAGGTTGCGGCTGGGAGTCACTTATGAAAAAGTGTAACGCTCGGTAACGTTACGATGAGTCTCTCGTGTTAAGTTTAAGTTTACATGTACAATGTTTTAGTAAACAAAATATATTTCTATAGTTAAAATTTGTGCAATTCTTATTTTCATTCAATTCCTTGTTCCTATTGTGCAATTTAATTATATTCATATCAATAAATATTCTACCGAGAAAAAGACGTTGTCACGTAAAATCTTCGCCCGTAAAACCGACTTTACAGGCAACCATTTTTTTTTATCATACTTAATTGACTCGAACAGGATGGACTCTATCAATATAGAATCATGAGGCGTCAGTATCATGTCATGTTATGTTACCTGTTTCAACATCTAGCAATTCAAGTTGAAAGTGTTATCTCTTGCCACCCCAAGGGTAACAGTCATCATCATCATCCTATTAATGTCCCCACTGCTGGGGCACAGGCAGATTGGGCCATGACCCACCACGCGGTCCCAGTGCGGATTGGTGGGTGCTTACGACTGCAGATGCAGCCGGGACCAACGGCTTAACGTGCCTTCCGAAGCACGGAGGAACTCGAAATAGTAAACTTTTGGTCACCCATCCAATGACCGACCACTGCGAAAGTTGCTTAACTTCAACAATCGCAGCCGAATGCGCTAAGGGTAACAGTATACGTCTTTTATTAATCCGCAAAACCGCATAAAATTCCCGTGGCTATATCTGGCAGTAGCATATTCACATGGGACAGGGTCTTTCATTAGATTCTGGAACAATTCCAATGGAACTAACTGCAACTTTTTATTTGTATTCTGCTGTACGTTACTCTCCTATGAATCAAATAATTTCTAAATGAAATAACTGAAAAGTTATTGCTGCCAAATGCAGCGTTTTCAGTCTCACACTGTGATGAAATTTTACTAAAACTGTGCTAATTTTGTAATTATCATGTGAACAACTGAAATTTCTTATCAGCTTTATCATTTTATTTTTATTCTTCGTAATTTTAATATGGTAATCTCCTTCATATGGTAAAGTGATACAATACCTTGGGAGTAAATACACTTAAGTAATTTCACTTAACTAATTTGGTTGAAAATTATTTAATCAACATTTCTAAATTAAAAAAAAAACCAATATCTAAATTCAGTTCAAATTTTAAAAATTTTATTAATGTCAATCCGTCATCTTTGTTTGTCAAAGTTGCGCGACATAGGATAGCACCAAAAACGTAACGAGGTCATTCATCGATAGATTTTACTCCTCACATTTTTCTCATACCGGGCCCCTTATATATGCAAATCGATTCTTAAGGAGTAAACTCCAATAGTATCTAAATCTTTTTATTAACTAATATTATTAAAGTAATAAAGGTTGAAATTAATGCATGAATTCAGGTTTTGATGTCATCTTTCAATTGACGGCACCGTATGAAATAAAACGGGAAGAAAAATATAACCCTCACTGAGATTCTAGTCGGTTATATCGGCACTGAGAAGCAGTCATCATCATCATCATCAGCCTATTAATGTCCCCACTGCTGGGGCACAGGCCTTCCCTATGAATGGAATAGGGAGATTGGGCCATGACCCACCACGCGGGCCCAGTGGGGATTGGTCGGTGCTAACGACTACAGATGCAGCCAGGACCAACGGTTTAACGTCCGAAGCACGGAGGAGCTCGAGATAATAAGTTTTGGTCACCCATCTAATGACCGACCACTGCGAAAGGAGCTAAATTTTAACGATCGCAGCCGAACGCGCTAACCACTTGCGCCATCTTGGGGGCTCTTCTTCTTGGGGGGGGGGGGGGAAGCCGATTGCCGATTCTCAATACAATTACGAACCGATGACATAGCGTTTGACTTTTGTAAGAGCTTGTAACAGCGTAGATTGAATAAACGATTTTGACGACCTCCGTGGCCGAGTGGTTTGTACGCCGAGTTTCATGATGTCGCCGACTCGATGACTCTCGACTCAGATGTTTGTGTGATGAATACGAGCATTTGGACTCCAGGATGGATGTTTAATATATATTTCTATATGTACTGTATATGTATTCTATCCGTTACCCCAGTATCCCCTAACACAAGCCTTACAGTGCTTATTTCGGGGCTAGGCTAATTGGTGTGAATGTTGGAAATATTTATTTAATTTTAAATTATCAGTATCTTGACTGCTCCTATTGGTTTACCAGCATTTTATTTCACCTTATCAAATATTTTCTCTGTCATTTGTTACAGGACAAGCGGCAGGATGTCTGAAAACGTACTGTCCTTCAAAGCAGACGCTTCCGACAACAAGGCCCGGTATACCTGCGAGGCTAAGAATATCATGATCAGCAACACACTGAAGGCGGAGATCGATCTCACCGTGCTTTGTAAGTCGTCATCATCATAGTATGTACTCTAGTGTTTAAGGACTATGTGAAGTTGACAGGATAGGTTTGTCGATAGTATAATAGATGGCGAAAAATTCTTATACTAATGATGTTTTTTAGATAGGTCCAACAAATATCTCCACCCCACCTGATGTTAAGTGACGGTGAACTCCAGTATTTCAAATTTATGTGGAGAATAACTCTTCAGAACGCTCGCCGTGGTACAGACGATAGAACGCGCTTAGTGACGCCACGTCACGGCGTAGTTGAAGAGGCTCGAGGTGTTTAGTCACCTCCTCATCGCCTATTATGCGGATCGCACGCCGCTGTAACCTATCCAAAGCATCGAACAAGTACTTGGCGGAACCATCCCAATATATATGTCCCAATCAATACTATAGAGTTACTTCATGAAATATCGGAGACTTACAAAAGAGAAGGTAAATGGTAGCAATACCGCTTAAAACTATAATGTAAACTTTCCTGGTTAAAGTTTAAAACAAGACATCAGTACTATCCATAATATTTTTGATCCACTTCTAAAATCTAACGATAGTGAAACACTATCCTTGCTTAAAAGCAAATTCGATAGTATTATTTGTAACCAATATCGGTAATCTCTTTCCGCCTTATTCCAAAACGCGGAATAAAGTTAGTCTTGGTTTAAACCCAATGTTGTCTCTATCTTCTTTTTAGCAAACAAAAGTGACAGCATCAGTTTTAGTCGTGGTTTAACTTTAGTTTACGTTTTGTAATAAGGCGGCTTGAGAATATTGAATCCCAAGTTTTTATTACAGACCACTTGCGCCATCGAGCTCCTTAAAAAAAAATGAATTGGTCCCATTGATTTCTGTATGATACTCCAACCATTCCGAAACAAATGTTCAAGTAAGAATGTCATGATATTTATATTCGTTGTTCTTGCAAATAGCTATTAAATTGCCAACCTTTTCCCAATGAATAAAGAGCATACTTGTACACATATTTTGCTTCAACGAAATGAGGGGCGCTTTTTGGTTAACCTACATTCTCAAGCCGGTCGTGGCTCCATTCACAAGATAAAGATGATGTCGCATTGTATACCGCAACTTCTTTGTCTATATTTCTATTAAATCTCCTATAATCTTCTGTCAAAAAGTCCCTTTATTTAATGCCCAAATCTATGAGTCTATATATGACCAATCTATATATCTATCTAGCACCAATTACTGGATTTTTATATAATTTAAATTAACGGAGAAACTTACTACCTTGTTTCTCTCATGAAACTACAATTTAAAATCCATTATTTTACCTTTCTTCGATACTTCCGGTCCGATTCCAGATGCACACAAACGATCAGAAAACTTTCTGAATTCTATTTCTTTGCTTCATTACTATTTCTCGTTCATTCCAATTCAGACCGGGGAAGCCACTTCTAAACCATTTTATCGTTTCTATGCCTAGTTATTTATAATGCTATTTGGATAACATAACTATTTAGATACTTTATACCTGAATAGAAATTAAGTGTTGCTTAAGAAAAGAATGGAATATAGAAGTTCTTAAATTAGATTAGAGAAAAGTTGTAACAGCCCAGAATAAATAATTTGCTCGAGACAAATTATTTATTCTGGGCTCTTACAACAGGAACACTTATAAAGAATAAAACAGCAAACAGAAACGCAATCGGCATACGCCCGATAGAACGACTTAATCCTTAAAAACCCACAAAACGGGCCGACATCCAATAAATATTTTCCTATTACAATTTGTGCGTTCCCTCCCGTTAATACTTAATAAATCCCGCGATTTCCATTTTATAAACTCCGAATGTCTTCGGAAAGTTGCGGAGAAGGGATTTCGGGACTGGAGACTCGAATAATTTCTGCGAACTCGGAGGTCTCCCTCTTCACGGGTATCCCATATCCTTTGATATACTAACCCTATCAAAGCGGATAGTCGAAAAGCACGGGAAATAAAATCACTATGGTCCAATCGTTCGGAATTCGGCGAATTAGAGATCCTATGATAAATAGGATTAAATTCAGCTGCTTCATATTTCCAGGTAGAAAATTAGAGGTAAAATTATTATCTTTGCATCTTGAGCACATAAATTTGATAAATAATATCATGATCTTTTTTATGATAATAGTAACTAGAAGCGTGTTACATAAATAGTTACGTAATTTGGTAAAGTGAACTAGTGGGACTATGTGTGTAAATCTCCAACTTATTTGTAATGAAGCTGCAAAAAGTGGAATTGCAAATGGAATTATAATTACTATAACTCATTTCACTTCAACTTTTTGGAATTATTACAGATTAGTTAGATAATATAAAATCATCAATAAATATATATTTTTATGAAAGGATTTATTTCAATGTTCGAAGAAAGACAATGATTAAAGGGGTTGTTACATCGTTTTTAAAGCATCCAAATTTTTAAGACCTGATTTATCGCTTTGATAAGTTTTTAAGTTCATATTTAAATGACTTTATTTGAAAAATCGTCTTCATTTCTTACTGCTATGTCTATATCTAACTTATAAAATGTTATTTCTTTATTGTCTTCAAATTATCCTGATCTGATTTTCCCGCATCAATAGGCAAGTTTATCCAGTATTCTTGATGTATCAAATCAACATAATTTCCTCTAACTGTGTCTACGGTATGGTACTTTATATAATACTAGTGGCCCGCCCTCGCTTCGTTTCCGGGTAGAATTAATCAAAATCCTTCCTTAGCGGATGCCTACGTCATAACATCTACCTGCATGCCAAATTTCAGCCCGATCCGTCCAGTGCTTTGGGCTGTGCGTTGATAGATCACTATGTCAGTCAGTCACCTTTGAGTTTTATATATATAGATGTTGGTCTTGGTAATTGTTGCTGCACAAAAAAAAACAAAAGTAAATACAATTCAACATGATCATTATGGCAACACCGCTATCGCTCTATAATTCCGCCAACAATTGTGCCCAGTCTCAACACGCTCATTGTTTATTTACAAAGAGTAGGTAACTCGTCGATGTCCCACCGGAGTTCCCGCCAACTGGACCGTTACTAGAAACTCTCTTTTCGCAGTTAAGCTCCTTCGTGCTTCAGTTGTCAAAGTGTGCGTTTTGTACTCCGTCGGGGCTACGCGCATATATTAAATGATAGCAGTTGGTAGTTTGACAGTCCTTTATTTAATGCGATGGGAGTGAAAGCAAAAGTGGAATGCGCCAGATGATAACTTTCCTTAGCATTATATATTAACGAAAGGGATCCGGTGAATGTTGTGAGCGGTAGACTCGCAATCACATGGTACTAGTGGAAACAAGACAGCGGAAAAACAGATAGCACTCGCTTGGTTTATCGAACTTCTCATAATTTATATTACCCAATTAGAAATCATCTCCTTTCTGAACTTCTTGTAAGTAGTCAACTAAACTAATTGTTCTATACGACTGAGTTTGGTGCTTGTCATAAACAAGCATCGAACTCAGTCCATTGGAGTGTGAACGCTTTGAACAATTTCATAGACAAACGACGGAACTGCCTTTAAATTGGTTATGCGCTCAAAGTGAAACCACAGACAATAATGGACAGTGTTTTTCTTGGTAGGTGAAGGAAATGCATTTCTAATTTCGTTCCTGTTATATTGAATCGAATTTGATCATGCTTTTATATACATACTTTATAGCATTTTTTACCTATCAAAGGGTCTACTGAATGGTAATAAATCATTATTTGCTCCTTTTTTTAATTAATATAATGAACTCCTTTGAAAATGCCAACATAATTTACTTTTTTTTTTCGAATCGTCAACTTAATGTTGCCTTTGCTGTGGTGGCATTTTTTAACATAAATAAGTCCGACAAATGACTCCTCCCTACCTGGTGATAGGCAACGGTGGAGTCCAGACGCGAAGATAGCTAGATACAGCAGTTCTACCTGCCACACCAGCCATCCTCACCTTACCGGCCTGTATGTCGCATCTTCACGCCTCTTTTAAAGGACCTCAGGTTGTAGGAACGACAGAACACGTTAGCGGGCAAAGCATTCCATTTGCGGATAGTGCGACAAAGAAAGTCACCAAATTTCTTTGTTCACTTAAAAAGCCTAAGAAACAAATATTCTTTGTTCACGTTGGCATTGTGGCCACAGTAAGTCCACAGTATTTTCCTGATAATCAAATTTTAATATCGATTGGCATCACTGAAGAGTAAGTTATTATATTCTCTTGAAATTTAAAGCTCTGATATTTTGTTTTCAGAACCATTATCGCCTACCTTAGCTACGAATTCGCCTGAGTCACTTTCCGAGCTAAAATTACTAGGTACTACAAAACAAACATTTTATTTTATGAAATTTATTACTGTCGCACATTTTTCAGCTTTAAGTGTTACTCGTTCTATATTTGTTCCAAGTATTATTTCTCGTTCCATACTTGGCAACACTGAAATATTACCTACACAAAGTGCGCTATTAAAAAGAATTTTGATAATTGGAAAACCGCAATTTTGCTCTGCAAACAAATTCCGTTTTAACGACTCTGTTTGATTTAATAAGAGCAATTATTTGGGATGGACTTTCAATTTTACTATTGAATAGAGGTTCATAATAATCTATTAATTAATAATGGATTTCGTTGAAGCATCAGCTAGCATGTTCGGTCTTCGATCGTGAATGTTAAGCAACTTTCGCAATGGTCGGTCGTTGGATGGGTGAACAGAAATGTATTATCTAGGGCTCTATTTGACTACCTTCGTAGATGAGTGGTTTGTACGCCGGGTTTCAAGGTGTCGCCTACTCAACAGATCCAAAAAAAATATAAAAAAAGTCCCAAAAATAAAATGTTATGGGTTAAAATGTATCAGTACGTAAGTATTCTATCCGTTACACGAGTATCCCATAACTCAATCCATACTGCTTACTGTGGGGCTAGGCTAATTGGTGTGAGTGATGAAAATATTTATTTATTTACATTAAGTCGACACTTAGATTAAGTTCATATGAATATAGTAACGCGATGTA